GAAGGGGGTAGGAGAAATAGTCCAATCCAACTTCTCTGGGTGTGTGCATCTGTTTGAGAGAGGGGGGAAGGAGAGCGGGAGGGAGGAGGGGGAGGGAGAAGAAAAAGAATGAAGGAAACTTTTTCACAAAGGAGAAAAACAAATGCTGTCACTTTAAATCAGAACTGAGCATGCCTGGCTGTGGAATTCTGGGAGTTGAAGTCCACAAGTCTAAAAAATTTTGAAACCCACCACTGTATCAGTGCCTCACTAGTCATAAACCTCACCACACGTCACTGCTCACTAGTCATAAACCTCACCGCACGTCACTGTCTTACATAAATATTTTCTTCTAGTCATATATAGGTTTCCTGCAAAAATCTGATTCCATTTAAATGAGCGTTGGAGATTTGGAGAAAAGTGAAGCTGCCAGGTTGAATTCTATACATGTATTTCTGCTTATGCACAAGTTACTTCAAAAACTCTCCATTCTTTTCTCTTTCTCAGAAACTGTTTAAATAAATGGTTTCAAATACAGTACAATTATTTAAGGTAACTATCTATGACCGTGATGGTGAACCTGTGACATGCAGAGCCTACTCTGTGGGCATGCAAGCCATTGCCCCAGCTCAGCTCTGCCACATATGTATGCACACCTCCTACCAGCCAGCTGGTTTTCGGGTCTCTGTTGCACATGTGTGGTTGGGGGCTGGGGTAGTGGTTGGGATGTGGTGCATGTATGCACGGGGGTGGGGTGAACAGGGGGGTCACACATGCTTGCACAGGGATGGGTGCACGGGGGGCACACACACGAGGCATGGGGTATGCGTTGGGGGGGGGTCACATACACATTGCATTATGGGTACACGTGCTCACTTTAGGCATTTGGTGCCGAAATGGTTAGCCATCACTGGGGATTCTCAGTCATCCAGGTCATGGTTCTCCCAAAGGTGCATTTTCAAGAGACAACTGGACTTTCTTTGTTTTGCTTCTCTCCAAGAAGCTTCTTCAGCTCCCGAGAGTGAAAGTCTTCAAAGAAAAAACAGAAAGTCCAGTTGCCTCTTTAAAAAGTACCTTTGGGACATATTGAAGATAACATATCATCCTTCCAAGAATTTAGTAATGATCCAGAATGTCCACTTTCTAGATATAAACCAATTTCATTGTATTTAAGTACAATGACAATAAAGATTATACTTATACTTATATTCAAGACGAAGCCCATGACTGTGCTAAAAATGACATGAGCACTTCAAACAAAAGTCAGTAGGTTTAGGATATCATGATGCAGGGAAATATTTCAATTATTTAATTTATTGTTATTGCATATTTAATCTCAAATCCAGTTACTAGTAAAAATTTTCTACCTTTAGTTAGAATTATTTATTTGGTTCCTTAATAATAGTTACTGAGAAGTTTTTGAAGCTTAGATCTAATAAGCTCTAATGTTGGGGGAAGAAAAATCTGGCAAACTGGTAAGAAGTGGTAAATGTGAAATAAATATATAGGTTATCCTTATAAAACTAACCATATTTCCATACTTTAAGCTAGCACAGCATACACTGTAATGATTCTGAAGCTTTAAACCCGCCATCCCACAGTTAACATTTGACATATATTATGTTATCTTGACAGTAATACTATCAATGGTATTCTTGTATTCATTTCTTGTAGACTATTACAGTTTCTGAAGCTCATTTGAAGTTCTAAGGTCAGGCATAATAACAAGAATGACATTCTCTACAGGGCTGTATGTGTATGGTATGGTTCTAGTACTGTGATGGTGAACCTATGGTAGATATGCCAGAGGTGGCACGCAGCACCCTCTGTGATGGCATGTGAGTGATTTCCCCAGTTCAGCTCTGCTGTGCATGTGCACGTGCCACCCACCAGCCAGCTGGTCTTCGGGTCTCTGCTGTGCTTTCCCACGGGACAGAGTGTGTGTGTGTGTGGGGGGGGCAAGTGTGCATGCACATGCACAGAGGGGGAAGGGGGGAGTGCAGGGTGTGTGTGCGTGGGGCATGCAGGGGGCGATGAGCACATACACAGGGGGGTGGGGAGTGTGCAGGGGGCATGTGCATGCACAGGAGGATAGGGCATATGCACAGGGACACGCACACATTGCATTTTGGGGGTTTGGGTATGTGCATGTGCATTGGGCACTCAGTCCTGAAAAGGTTAGCCATCAGGGACGCGCAGTCAGGGGAGGCANAGAAAGAAAGAAAGAAAGAAAGAAAGAAAGATGGATGATAGGTGGATGGATAGTAGATGATAAATGAGAAAGAAATAATACACCTAGGTAGATCATAGAGACAGACGGAGGATAGACAGGCAGACCTAGAGAAATAAGGGAGAATGATAGAGAAACAAGGGAGAGAGGGGTTCCTCTTCAGCAGGCCGGAGAGCCTCACAGGCCGCCCAAGTCCCTTCCCTGCCCTTCCAAGGACTCTTCCCTGCTGGGGATGATGGGCTCAGCAGTCCCGGAGGGCCTCACCTGAGGGCGTCCACCACCCGCTTGTACTGCCTGTAGCGGTTGATGACCACCAGCAGCTCAGCCGGGTCGACGGGCGGCGGCACCTTGATCCGGTCCGCTTTGGATTTGGCCGGAGGGTCGAAGCGGGTCTTGCGGCCTCGCGCGGGGATCAGGCTCGGGGCGCCGCGGCCCAGTAGGGCGGCCCGGCCGGGAAGGCCCCTCAACCCCGCCGCCAGCATCGGACGGGAAGCGCGGTCGCGGTACGATCGAAAATTGAACCGAATCCGGAAGTGGCGCCAGGGACGCCGGGAAATGCAGTTCCGCCGATCGCAAGAGGAGCGAGCAGAAACGCTGCCCGCTGTGCTTCCAAGTCCACAGACCGGAAGTTACGTCAGGGATGACGTAACACGCGGGGAGCCTTCAGTGGAGCGGCGGAAAAGCGTCATCTCAATCCCGGAAGCAATTTGAAGTTTGGGCGTGGAATGCCCTTCTAGGAATTCTGGCCAACATATGACCACAATTGAGTCCTATATTTCTGTTGCTAAGCGAGATGTTAATTTAATTTTATCCCACTTTAGGATATTTCGTGCCACTGTTGTTCAGTGAATCACTATGGTTGTTAAATTAGTGACCCAGTCATTAAGTGAATCTGGCTTCCCCATTGACTGCTTGTCAGAAGGTCACAAAAGGGGGTCACATGCCCCCCCCGCAACCGTCATAAGTATGAGTCCGTTTGCCAAATTTCAATCATATGAGCACGGAAAATGTTGCAATGGTCGCAAGTGTGAAAAACGGTCATAAGTGACTTTTTTTCACTGCCGTTGTAACTTCAGTCACTAAATGAACTGCCGTAAGTCGAGGACTACCTGTATATGCCTGTGATTGAGTCAATGTGTAGGAAGTTAAACACCCCCCACCCCCAAGAAGAATGAAATATCCTGGGAAATATTGAAAAGGCAAAATATTATATTTCCCTGGATCAGAAATGGGGAAAAAAATGTTTTTTAGGCAGGAAGCAGACTCACTCTTAATCGCCCCCACCTTTGTCAATGGACCATTAAAAGACCTGAGCCAGTCTATTCTACATAACAAAGATCCTCCCCACCTCCATGGGGATGGGATTAAGGCATGATAGTATTAGCCCTTGACCCANAGGTAGATTTTTAAAAGTGTATGTGATAAAACAATGTCTATTTACCTCACCAGAAGGTCAGAAGTCAAAAGAAAAAAAAAAGTGGACAGTCTGCCAAGAGAAGATTCACTATGGAAACAATGTGGGCATTTATAAGAATGCAGTGTTATTGGATCTTTCTTTTTTCCTTTATTTAAAACTGAGAAATATTTCCCAAAAAGAAAGTAGCTACAGATGGTTACTGAGGCTATGCAATTAATGCTCAGTGTTACATTAATAAGTGATAACAAGCAGAATACATTGTTGTTATATATATATAACATATATAATAAGCTCAGCTGGTAAAGGAGAATCTTGTGGCTTAGTGGTTAACACATCTGCCTAATATGTAATACAGCCCAGGGTCGAATCCCAGTAAGGGAATGGCTAGCTGATGAGAGCTAAATAGCTTGAAATAGATCTATACTAGTCTCCCTTTATTTATTTATCAGCACAAATACAACACACACACACACACACAATTTGTTATGTGTATTTGTATATTGGAGGTGGTGATCCTTTGAAAGCTGTCTGCAATGAAATTTCATTTTAATGTATGCTGATTGGTGTACATTTAAAGTGACAGTAAGGTTACTCTAAGTCTGAATGACGTTGTAGTTGGTTAATATGAGATTGGTTAAAAACTATCCTCAAAAAATGCTTATCAAGAGTGCTTCATTAATTTGTAGAAAAATATAGAGTAGGGTCTCATGAGGTTCAGTTTTCTATGTTTTCTGGTTTTTAAACTTTTTATTAAGAACTAGAATAAAGAGTTGCAGAGAATGCTTATCAGATTTACATAGGACACAAAATTGGGTAAGGCAAGCAATAAACACAGATGAAATATGAAAAGCAGCATTATTAAATTAGAAACTTGTCCTGAAAATGACAATTAAATTTAAGAAATAAATATAATATTATTTACTAAACAATGGAAATGCAGAAATATAGAATGGAGATCTAGTTTTATAATTATATTTGTGGAAAAGCTCTTAGGATACTAATGACAATTTGCATGAGAACGGAATTACGTAGCAGAAAAAGGAAATACTAGGAATAAGAACTGTGCCAAAGTAAATGTCTATGGAAATTCTCAGTCATCCAGGTCATGGTTGTCCCAAAGGTGCTTTTTCAAGAGGCAATTGGACTTTTTGATTTTTCTTTGAAGACATTTTGCTTCTCATCCAAGAAACCAGAAAGACCAGTTCCATCTTGGAAAAGCACCTTTGTGCCTGAGTAGTTTTGAGCAACTTGATCTCCACAAAAAAGTGGCAAGGGGTAAAGCTTCTTTTTCAATGACTCCTGCTGTCAATAGTATTGACCAAATAACGTTGAAGACAAATGAATCCCCATAGAGGACCATTACAGAAGGCCATCCCCATCCTGAAAAACTGCATTTAGGTTATGGCTGATGCATACTTGTGATCCTTCTGGAGCTATTTAGACTTAGTATGCTTGATTATAAACTGGCTTGATTTTAGCAATGCCCTATCTGTGGAGCTATTCTTGAAAAGTGTCCAGTAACTAAAACAGCGCAAAATAGAGACACTACTTACTGACTGATGTGAAGTACAAGAAACATATAATGTCTACATTAAAAGATCTGTATGGGCTACTAATAGGATTCTGATCACAATTCAAGGTGTTTTTATTGATCTTTAAGATCATTCCTTTCCTGGAGCCTCACTCTGAAGAACTGCTTCTCCTTTTATGAACTGGCCAGGTATTTATATCAATGGAAAAGGCCTTTCTTAAGATTCCTCTTTCCTTCCAAATACTTGAAGCTTGACCATCTGTTCTGTGGAAAACCTCTGCCCTGATTTTCTATTCTGACACTTTCCATCCTGAAACAAAATAAACAAAACAAAACCAGCTTCAGAATTAAAACAATTTCTGAAGTAATCTGGATTTAGAACTTATGCCCTCTCTTGATTTGAAAGCTAGCATGAAAAAATAAGATCTTATCTCTAAAGAAAAATTGGCTGAACTTTCAATCAAAATTTGGTTTATTTCTTTATAAATGACCTTGATCTAGAGGAAATAAACTATGCCAAGATAGGCCACACATCCTCTCCAGGAATTTGTATGCTTTACAGTCACTATTGCAATGTTTATTTCACCAAGTTCTGGTTCTACATGTGCCTTCTCACAACTCCCATTTACATCAACAGTATTAATATTGTAAGTGTGTGTGTGAGACTTTGAGTCATTGTTGACTCCTGGCAACTGCCTGGACTAGTCCTTGCAAGTTTCTTGGCAAGGTTTCAGAAGTGATTTGTCATTGGCTACTTTGTTGGACTGAGAGAGTGATGGGCCCAAGCTCACCCAGATAACTTTGTGCCTAAGGCAAGACAAGAACTCATGATCTCCTGGTTTCTAGTTCAGTGCCTTATCCACTACACCAAACTGATTGTATTAATACTATAGATTGTGGAAATTAATTATGCTTACTTTCTCATTTCATTCACTGAATGTAACAAGAGCTTAACTGTTTGGGTCATAGATTAATTTTCCCTTTAGAACATTAACTAAATAACTGCATCTGCTGTCTGGAGTGATATGCCCTTCACAATAAATATAACTCTCAACATGATGGTGTTCTGGTAGACTTTAAAAACTTATTATGGGCCTTGGGGTAAGATTGTCATGCATTTTATGATACTGTATATAGAGCATAGCTATCTTATCCCTTACTTTTTCAGTATAAGCCATCCAGTGCCTTTAAATTATCACCACCACCACTACCATTATCATTATAATCAGTTCCCCACAGGTTTATGGTCTTTTGTTATAGAGGAAAATCATGAATCAGTATGATTTAGGACCATCTCCCCAAAACTTCAGAATGTTGGCTTCTCTAGGGAACCCCTAATGATCGGATACGAGTGTGCACGCAGTGTAAACAACAGGAAGCCCAACAAAATCAATCTGTTCTTCCTAATAACTTTTCCTCAAGCAGTCAAACTCATCTTTCAAAGCAGCAATATATTTACACTATATAACTGTCTCCAAATTCTGAAGGCCATTAACTTTAGCATGCTTCAATGCACTTCCCACAACAGTCTTGTGGGGCTAATACAAGAAAATTGCATAAGAGGTGCAACTGTGCCCCTGTGGACATTGAACCTTTGAAATTACAACTCATTTCCTATTTTACAGCAAGGACTCACTGACTTATCTCATAAACTTCACTTAATAAAATATCTGGGAAACATCTATCTTCTTTCGTACAATTGTTGTTATTGGACTTGTTAAATGTAGACATTTTGAATGTAGCTAAATTTTGTTATATTGTCTTCAAAATTAAACAGATTTTGACTGCCTAACAATAATCCACCACCAATTGTTAAATATTATCTTGTCTTTTTATTTTATTTAATTTTAATGCCTCTTATTTGTAACATTGGTCTGTGATTGTAATACATGTTATTACTATTACTATATCAACATAAACATTATCTTATTTATAAGGAAGAAAGAAAGTAGAAAGCAACCGAACCTGAATCACAGATTCAGTTTTTCAGCTGGCAATAAGAGATACTTCAGTATTTTATTCACTGCAATTTCAAATATTGGATAGTGAGCAGGACAGAAGACATAAACGTGGAAAAGGAAATTGTGAGTATATATATTCAAAGCTTTGTAAATCAACAACAGAGGAACAGAAATATTTTGGCAACAGAATGCACAGAAAAGAGAATTTTAGTGCTAGTACACAGAATTTAATTTCTTTACAAGTTCAAATTTCAAGTCATCAGCATACAATTCCATTATTTGTTTAGCTCAATGAATAAAATTGTGGAATTTGGTTCCAGACACATTCATCCCCAAAAAACTGCTTAGTATATAATGGCTTTGTGGTAAATTGAAAGCCTGTAACTTGTGTTTCTTTTCTTTTTTCAGGAATATTCCAATGATGGTTTCAACTGTAGAGCATAATATTGCATTGCCAAGAAGTGGTTTCAAATATGATTTCATAAATACTTTAATTTCCTGTTTACTATGGATATAATCATGCTTTAATTTTTGATTTATAACCAAAACCTTAGGCTCATCTTGAAGAGACTCTAAATCATGGATAGACAATCT